GCCTACTAAGAAAGTTAGTAGCCGGTAGTCATCGGGTTATGAGATGCACAATATATCACATATACATGCAGTAGCATTTCACAATGATACATGAGCATGTTTGGAAAACAACAAGTTGCTGTGCAGCAACATGCTGTATGACAAGTGCTCATCACAGTCTGTTTAACCAGGATTAACAAACATTGCAAGCATCTGCTTTGATGGTTTGTACTACTCACTTTGCTAAACCATTAGACTTTACACAACTCACAATACAGTTGGCTATTGAAATTATCTACATGATCCATGTGAATTTCTTCAAGTTGGCCAAATTAGACTATTCAACATTCTACCACTATACCAGTGATAGATTGTGCTGAAGTATCGACCCAAATAACAAAGCAATCAATAATGACTAGCAAACATTGATTACTTCAGTTTCCAGGAGAGGACTAGCGATAAACAGTGTTATTTTCTGTGGAGAAGAAACCAAAATTTTTCTTATAGAACTTGCATTGTATAGGCTGCTTTTCATCTGGAAGCACATGTTATACAATGGTTCGACTTTAATGAAGCCAATAAAACTGCCGTTGTACATTGGCATAAATGTCTTGTAACACCTTGATGACCTTAATTCTCACATATGAAGAAAATGTCATTGTTTGTGTTTCTATACCTGAAGCCTTTTTTTTTTTAAATAATGGTTTGTCTGAAGTTAAGCACAAAGCTGCACAATGGCTATATGTGCTTTGCCCACCACGGGTATCGAAAACCAGTTTCTAGCGTTGTAATTCGGCTGTGCTACTAGGGGAGGGGGTCCTCTATTAAGTTCAAAAACTCGTGTCAACACTACGGTCTGCTTCACGAACATAACTTTTTCATAGAATTGGCCTGATGTTATATGAATGCCTTTTTTTTTATCTTGAGGTATTTGTTCGAATATTTATCAGCGTAACGTGAATGGTAGTGTAATTATAACTGTGCTGACCTTTTTATTTGGGTATGTTAATTTTGTATTTAAGATAGGCATAATATGGTATAGTGAGAATTATAAGCGTACCGACCCGTTTTAATTTAAATGTCTTGTTAATTTATAGTATGGATAAACAAATTAAAGACCCACTTCCTTTAAGTTCTTAAATTCGCGTGCTTGGACAATTCAATATTTGAAGGGAATAACGCTTTTAACGACCTTCACCATCCATAGACGATTAATATTTGTAACTATCCTTTTTCGTGGGCTATGAAAACATTGTTACATCCAAAGTAGTCGCATATATTAAAATTTAATTCTCTGTTAAAAAACGTGTATGTTGTATAAACAGGGATGATAATGGCATTACTGTAAGATATTTATAATGATATTGAAGATTAACTTTACCCTTAGATTGGAATCACTTTTCTCTCGAAACGGATACTTTAAAAAGGTGTTCTGACGAGCACAAGTTTTGTAGGTTTATACAACTGAAATTTGTTTAACATTTAAAGTATTTAACAGAACGTTGCTCATCGCTCAGAAGTGTAACATTATATTTATGAACGTGAAATCATACTATTTATTTGTACTATTCGATAAATCCATGTATATGTAGTAACACTAACAGTGTTTTTCTTTTTTTTTTTCTCTGTTATTCCTCGCGTCGGAATTTACTGATAGTTTTGAGCAGTTTAAATTAAGCGAGTGACGAATAGTAAATAAAAGCAGTTCTAAGACTTTTGTTTTAACTCTGTGTAAGTATACAAATGATTAGATTATGAAGACTTTCATTTTGACGTGTGCTTTCTTTTAATATTTAGTTTAATTAAGTTCCTTAAAACTAATTGTTGTCACGTTGAATATTACTATTACTCACTATTGCTATTAGTATTACGCTGGCTATGCGATAGTGCTCTATAATATTAATATACTATTAGTTTACAGATGTAATATTGATTACCATTAAAATTGATGATAATTTTATTTTATTATTACTATTAGTTAGTAATATTACCCTACACCAAGAATGTCGGGGTAAGTGTAATGACGCTAGCAAATTATGGGTATAAACTATAATTTTTAAATATTGAATTTTATTTCTGTGTTTCGTACTAATCCATAACTGTCTGTTCTTGGGATAGTTTGTTTATTATAATTTTTACTTTTAATTTTATAGCGTGCACTGTTAATGTTATACCGAGAAACTATGGCACTTTCACTTTCGGTTCAAATTAGTTTCTGCTACTGCTAAGTTTTATAAGTTTCACTCAGCATTCCCTTTAAACATCGCTCATTCAGTTCAGTCGTTATAAATATTAAAATATTTATCATACACGTATTTTGCTGACAATGTGAGGTAGATGAAATGTAATTGTTGTACATTTCTGCACAAAGTTGGTAAAAATTAAATTGTCCAGTACTAGCACAAGTAACTATTGTCAGTATTATGAGGCTGATCAACAGAATACTCTTAACAACATTTTATAAGAATGGATACACTGTTTTGTTGGTTAAAATATTTTAATAAATATTAAAATGAGGTTTTCTCAACCTTTTATGGATATTAATAATCCATTGACTTTCCAATGCTGAAAATAGCTTTTACATATAAAATATTGAAATATTATAAACACAAGTCGTACATTCACCAAAAATGATTTAATTGACACTGAAGTTGTTCTTCAATGAATGTAGAAGATAGTGAATTGCCAGAACTTGTTACTGTTCATATACCAGTATTTGTAATAGTGAGCATCAAAAGTCTAGGAGCAAATAATGTTGTAAATTGTAAATCAGAAGAACTGTTTTTAAAGTGAAAATAATTCCTTCAGATACTTAGGAATAGATGTGTCCCTTCCAGGAGTGTTCTCTTGAGCTAGATGTAGGAATGAATTACTTAACAAGGTCCAAAATATGCATAAAAGATTATCGGGGAGTAACAGGAAAGCTGGCTGGACCTTTGGAATAGTTTCCAGGGTAATAGTGGGTTGTAAGCTTAACATGGACTCCACATAGCAGCTTAGGTAGCAAGATGTTTGAGGAAGCTCTAAAAAACTTCATTAATGCTAGTTTAAAAGTGTGAATTGGTGAGATAGTTAAGGTAAAGAGGAGATTAGAAAGAGAAGATATAGAGCCTAACAAGATGATTAATAGCTTGAAAGATAAATATCAGATGAGAAGGTAAACATAGTATATTCAAGAATAAGCTTAGTTGTTATTGTCCTAACCTTAGGAGTACTAGGAACAAAATGGGCGAGTTCAGGGCTCAAGATTAAGTGGAAGATTAAGGTAAAAAAAAATCAAATCCTATATTTTAGAAATGGTATAAAATGTCAAATTCCAAAAAAAGCATTTCACTTTTTTATTATCAAATACATGCATAAGGCTTGGCTTAGCTGTTATTGATACTGTTTTCCAATTTACTTTTGACTTTTTTTTCTCTTTTTATGTAATTTCTTTGTCCTTTTTTTATGATTGACTTTTATTCCCTTTGTCTTTATTACCTAGAATAAAGTTAAAGGTGACACTAAAAAAAATTGTTTTTTTTTAGAAAATAACTTCTTTTAGTACAAAATAGACATGTTGTAGAAAGAGAAAAAGAATTGCAGGGAAGAACAAACTTCTAGGAGAAAATCAAGTACAAATACTTTAAGTTTTAAAACAATTAACAGATAGAATGGAAGATTTACAGGAATATAAGAAACTTGGAATTTGATTGATGAAAAATTAGAAAATCAAAATAGGGTTTATAAGAAAAGAGAGATTGTTTGTAATTTTCCTGGCATTAAGCATTTTGTGGGAAATGTACGAATTAACTTGAATCATATAGATCCCCTTAGCCATAAGTAAAAAAGACAGAGAGATTAACAATAAAGAATCAGAAACAAAGATTGTGCTTTTTCAGGGTCTTAAGAAAAGTCAAAAATGAGATATGCGAGTTTCTTTCTTTCATTTTCAGTAGGTTAATAGACAGTGGAAAGGTGTCTGAGGATTGATAAATTGCTAAGATTAGTCCTGTTTTTAAAAGAGGCAATAAGAGTTATTCAGGAAATTGTGGACCAGTTGGTCTTACTTCTGTAGTAGAAAGAGTTATAGGAAGTCTGATAAAAGAAGTTTTACAAAATCATTTAGTGGACTGTATCATAAAAGCGAGTCAGCACAGGTTCATTAAAGGGAAATCGTGTTTTACTGTTAGATTTTTTGAGGGTATTACTTGTTATCTATATGATAGAAATGTTGTAGACTTGGTGTACTTTGAGTTTCTAAAGGCTTTTTATAAAATACCACACACAAAATTAACCATAGAATGCCAGTGTGGGGGTCACTATGACCCAATATCACCTGGTGTTAATGATTGAAAATTTGATGCTGAAATTCTACGGTTGACTAAGGAGGTCATATTTGTAGGGGGGTGGGCAAGACTAGTTAATTGGATGTGAAGTTGTTGGATTGAAGAAAGCAAAAAGTTTTTATTTATGGAGTTCAGCCAAATTGAACATTTGTTCCTAGTGAAGTACCCCAGGAGTCAGTGCTTGGGTTGTTGCTTTTTCTTATTTACATTAATGATATGTATAGTGACATAAATACTAAAATTTGCTGATACCATTAAACTCTAGGTTACTTATAGTTGTATTGAGGATATTGTACTACAGAATGACTTGTATCATTTGGTAAGTTGGACAAAATATTTGGCAAATAACCTTTAACTGTAGTAAGTGCAAGATAATGTATTTGGATCATCACATGTTTAATATAGATGTGAACCTACTCAATACTATGGTTGAAGAGGATTTTGACATAGTGGTACATAAGTTACTTAACCCTCAACTGGTAAGGTCTGAATGACCCATAAACAACAAACAAACAATAACAACAGTAAGATATAAAACTGGTAATGCACACCTACTCTGCTCAACACTCAAGAACTGATTGAGAATAGAGTACAGAAATTATTAGGTAGAGAGCAGCACGAGTTGAGTTAGAATATCGACTTGAAAAATTGATTCTGACCCATCCAACCAGTTAAGAGTTAAGCAGTTGAGACAGTGCTCTGTTGCTTCTAATAAAGATAATATAAATTTGGTATGTATTTATATACACGTTTATTACAAGTCAAAAGAGGAAATCATCTCTTTATACCATTGACTAGTTAGACCTTACTTGGAATATTCTGTGTAGTTTTGGTTGCCATATCTTTAGGATATTAATTTATTAGAAATAACTCAGAGAAAGGCTGATACGATTATTCTGGGAGTAGGTTAAGATTTTTTTCCTATTTTTTTCTTGAGAAACTGAAATTTACATGATTGTCTAGGGGGGTTGATAGGATAAAAGACTCTGATTCATTTGTTCCATATACTGAAGATAATAGTATGAGAGAACACAAGTTTATGTTTTAGAAAATACAGACTAAGCTCCAGCTAATACAGTTTTATTTTCCTAACAGTGTGTTTAGCATGTGGAAAACTGCCATTGGCAGTAGTGAAGATCAGGATCTTACAAGAGTTTAAGATGTAAATAGATGATTTTTTACAAAATAAAGGGAGAATTTAAATTTTAACTATCTGTGGGGTAGGTGTGTAGAAACAACCTTGAAAGAACAAATGGTCTCCTGTTGCCCTTAATGTAAAGTTTATTTTCTAAAACCACTTAGGTTGAACTGGATTTTCGTTTTGAAGTTCATCTGGTTTTTTTTTTTATCTCAAATGATTTGTTAGCATTATGAACAGGGATTATAGATTTAATCTTTGGAAAATGTATTCTTCAACAGAATTAAATTTTGATTAAAAATACATGCACAGTTAGTTTGAACTCTATAAAAAAATTTTTTTTGATAGATATGTAGATATAAAGAGCTATTCATTTTCCTTTTTGTGGAAGAAGGAGGACCTCAATGTGCTGAATACAATACATCTAATACAACTCTTAAATCTTAAACTGACATCTTGTCTCTTTCTAAGCAAATAGGGTATACTAGTGCAATGTTTCACTTCCATTTGTTAAATTATTAATTAAAAGTAATTCAAAGATTTCAAGAAAAATATGAAATAGTTAAAGTGACTGAAAGATAAAGGGAAATACATAGAATCTGAAATTACTTAGTTTTTTTTTGTTTTGACATTGAAGATGCATGTATTTATTTTAAAATTATCATCTGATCTATATCAAGTAAGCAATTTGATCTTGAACAATGCTGAATGAAATATTTTCTTTTATATCTGTAATGACAGGTGAGCTATTTATCCATATGTTTCTTGATTTTGTTTGTTAACCCATTTTCAGGTGCTGATAAATAAAAAAACGACAAAATCGGACAGTGATGAAGCGGCTCTTCAAAATCCTCTTAATGATGACGATGATGACATTTTTTATTATTCTGCCAGTTTACTCAGACTCTGAACCTAGGATTGGTATGCACCATAATACATTTTACCAGTTTGGAAGGATTCTTTATGGATGGATTGAGTATTATCTCAATACTAATAAGCATAGAATAAGCTTAGTCATATCATTTATTATGAATTCTTAGTGTGTGTATTTGATTCATTAATTTATCGTATTTCAGTAATTCAGATAATAAAAAACCTTACAGAAGCAAAATAAATATTTATAATGTATATGTAAAATAGCATGTATAAATGCAAGCATAACTTTGCATTTTCCTTTTTTTCATAGCTATTGTAGGAGGTGGAATTGGTGGAGCAACTACAGCTCATTATCTTCGAGAACTGTTTCCTGATCCAACAGCTACTGTTGATTTATTCGAAGCACATAAAGTTGGTGGCCGTCTTGCAACTACTATGATAGCTGGTCGAGAGTATGAGACAGGAGGATCCATAATTCATCCTAGCAATTTTTATATGAAAAATTTTACTTCACTCTTAGGTATGGTGGATTTATTTTTGTGTGATTAGAGTATATAGTTGCTGTAGATTGATACATATTTAAGCAGTATATTGTTTGAATATTACACTGAAATTACAGTGTCAAATTATTTACCATTTTAAGATGTTCAGTACTTATCAAAGTTCAGCCCCACTGCTTAGATATTTTTTGGTATATCCTTAAAATTGAAAACTGAGATTACTTATATGACCAAATATTGTAATAAATGCACATGAAGTAACTAGCACATTAATGTTTTGTAATGGATATGTGCATAAAGTTACAAACACATTTTAAGTGCTTGACATAACTAAAACATCACCATTTTGTAATGGAGGTACATAAGTTGTTACTATCCTGTATTGTAGGTAGCCACAACATTCCACTCTTGCAATGGAGCCATACAAATAAAAATCAGTTTTATAATATTGCCTTTAGGTCTAAAGTTCATGTAAACTTTGCTCCTGAGATTTTTGGTTTAAGACAAGGAAAGAAGTTCTGTATAACTCTTCTGCACATGGAATAGTGATAGTATAGTTAATATAACTCAAAATAGCTGAATCTTTTATGCCATCCTAAATTGTAAATATTTCACAGAAAATATTTTTTTGATCGTTATAGGATTAAAATCACGAACAGGTACTTTAGAACTATTTGGAATCTACAATGGAAAGGAATACATATTTAAGGAGAGTCCCTGGTTTCTGATGACCCAAGTAAAGATGTTGTGGCGGTATGGATGGAGTGCTATTAAATTTGAGCCCTGGATATCTAACATGATTGATAATTTCAAGAAGTATGTATTGTTGTCATATATATTCATTAACAGGGGGTGAGGTGCTGTGAAATTAGTGATTAGCCAATATTATACCAGTATTTAAGGGAGGAAAAATGCAGTAATTAATAACCAATTAGTTTTACTTTAGTGTATGGGAAATTACTAGAGCGTATAATTAAAGGAATTCTAAAGAGAATTCAGACAATTTTCCTATAATCTCAGATTCAGAAAGGGAAGATCAATTACTTTTATAACCTTGCTGGGAAAACTAGGTGAAGTTCATGAGGAAAAGGTCTGGACACACCTGTAAAAAGTCTAAAGAATTTTACGATAATGTATGTTGGCTCATATGTAATAAGATAGAGTGTTAGACAAATATTGAGTACAACTCAAAGTTGGTCATCAATTCATTCTTTCAAGTGATTGTTTGAACTTTATTTCATATATTGAGTTCAGTTTTGGTCATGTTATGTAAAAAGAGATATTGAATTTTTTAGGGAGGCTCAGGGGGGATATAATTATCCTTGAAAATGCATGGGATTTGATGTACTCATTGTTCAAGCTTTGAAGAGCATGAAATTACACTCATTTTATTGATGATAAGAGTTGAAAATTTGTAGCTTTTCTTTTTTTTTTAATTTTGCTCATTTGGTATATACAGTGCTTCTTTATCTGCATTGTAACTAATTGTTATGATGAAGTACATATGAATATACATTCGCAGTACATGATAATAATTATCATTATTTTATTAACTATATAATGAATATTATTATTAAAGTTTAATATCACCAAATCTTCATCCCTCAACGTGGATTCCTGTATGTGGTGAGGGGACCTCCCAGGGAAGGTTCTGTATTTTCAATTCCTTCCTCTGGTATCTAAACATCCACCCAAGTGTTTGCCATGCGTGGCAACCCGTGAAGGGGAGGAGAGGATCCTGGTGGCTGAGTGGTGTCTGGGGCACTGCAACACACCATGTTGGCCTTGAATTCCTGTA